GTTACTGGGGCCACGTGAGACGCCTTACGGCTTCCAGTTGCTTATTTCTTTGGTCCCACTGGGTTACACCAGGCAGTGATTGGCAGCAGGGGGTAGACCCCCCTTGCTCTCCTGCGATTAGTGAGCTCTGGACGTCGCCTGAGTGAATGTGTGACAGTGAAGGTGATCGTGAGTGGATCAGGACACGGAGGGCTGGGTCCCAGTCCTGGTTCTGGCCTTGGTGAGATCTGCCACTCTCGGTTCCCAATCCAAGATATGCTGCACGATTATGCTTATATTTCTCAGTAAATATCCTGCCACGTGACCTTGGGAGACACTGCCCTTCAGTTCGTCACATGGCTGCCTGATTTTCACGGGCAAACAGCTGGGAAATGTGGCCAAGCCGCCAGTCGCTTTGGTTAAAGGTGTCAGCAGATCACAACGGGACCCTCTATTGGAACCGCCCTGCTGTACTGAAGTGTAAAACTTTGGTCGGAAAATGGGACACAGACGTCTTAACAGAATTGGGAGGGGTGTTTACGGTTTCTCTGATTCCCCCCCCCCGCCTCGCCATCGCCGTCCCAGAGCAGAGGAGATTCTCGGAGCTCCCACTGCTGCATGGAGGCCCATCACGGATATTTGTGACCTACTAACATGGAGAGATCACATAACGGCGGTCGGCGCTGGTCTCCCGGGGCTGGGAAACCCTGTTCCTGGAGCCCCGCAGTCCCACCCGCCTCTCTGTGCCTCTGTTCCTGGACAGCGGGCCGGATTAATGCAACCCGGGTGGTTTCAACAAAAAAAATAAAAAATCCACCTAGTTTTTTCAGTGCTGCTTACAACTGCTGCTGTTCCTTCCTCCGTTTTGAGACATACAGTGTTTTCCACCAGTGCGTAAAAGAGCATAAATAGGAGTTTAACGTCTAACGTGACTTTTGAAAGCATCTGAATGGGCTGGAAAGAAAACCAGTAAATATTCCCAGTTTAGGATCTCCGTGTGAGACCTGAGTTGTAGAGTAACTGGGTCGCGTTCTCACTGGTCATCCATTAATTCAAAGCAGAAGTATTTCCTACAATCAGGACTAGAGTCGTCTACATCTAATTAAAAATATAGCTTAAAAATACCATGAGATTTCTGGAAATGTAGACCATATCACATTTTTTGGTCCTCTGGAGGTTTTCAATTGGTTCAGCCGATACTGCTGGCAGGGGTGGCGCTACCTTTTCAGGGGCCAATGGTAAAGCTTTGCTTGGCAGGCCCCCCTACCGAGAAAATTGATGATTACTTCGCTTCCTCCGCAACGCAGGTAATTTGGGGACCCTGGGCAGCTGCATATTCTGCCTATAGCTAGAGCAGACCCTGACTGCAGGAAGCCAGAGAAGGCATTGCTGAAATCCGGATAGTCTATACTGCGGCTGGTCATTCTGCTACAAGGTCCACCCAGCGCCTCACGAAACCTTGGGAGGCACCTTTAGAAAGAGCTAACTGGTGCATAGCTTTTGCATGATGATTTACACTGGGTTGATAGGGCCTGTTAGCACGTTAGCATCTCAGCGGCGTGGTAACGCTTTGGCCTGGGACTGAGGGCTCTTCATTAGCGTGCCACTGATGGTTGTCAGGAGGCCTCCTCTGGAACATCAGACCGATTCCCCACTTGAGGTACGGATTATACCTTTGAATCCCCATGACGGAACATCAGGTCCATATGAATAGCCTGTTAATTAAGCGATACTAAAAAACAAAAAACAGAAACATTTGACTTGTACAGTGAATTTGGTTCTTAGTGTCTACATTTATTTATGATAATATATAGCTTATAGACTGACATGGCGTGAAGGACCGCTCAGGCTTAAAGCATCCTGGGAAGGACTGTAGGCCTCTCAGCTGGACTGTCAGCTCTCCCGCGTCTGGCGTGACGCTCACGCTTTCAGACTCTCACGCTCATCCAAGAAATCCTATAAAAAAATCTAAAATATTGCATTATAAACCTAAAATTAGCTACATCAAAAGCCTTGAGGCAGTCTGCAAACCCTACAGACTATTTACAAGGTAAGAAAACTGTTACATACATGTAGATGCGTGTGCATGCGTGTGCAGATTTGTCTGGAATTGAAAATCTCACTCCAGCCAGCTGACCAAAGTTGGCAGCCCTGCCTCAGCAACCCTGTGCTGGAACAGAGGTCAGATGATGGATGGATGGATGGATGGATGGATGGATGGGTATTGCTAATAATGAGTGTTCCTCTGTTAGTCTCCCTGGGTCATGCTCTGCAGTTTGATTCACACAGTTATTGTTCTGATTGGCCTGATTCTGTCTTTTCTCCTGTGTGTGTGAAGCTTGTTGACTAAGTATAGGGAACCAGACGTCCTTCTGATGCTATGTCCTCCTCAGCAGGCTGTGGTCCATGCCCCCATGCAGAAGGTATCCCATGTCGACCTCAAGTTCACACGCAGGGGGCCGGGTGTGGCTCAGTGTGCTGCTGTGCTTGTGACTGAGAGGTGGCCCCCTACCTTAAAAAATCCTAGAATTGCCCCTGCTGCTAGGTCAACGAGGGCTGCAACCGTGTTCTTGGATGGACGCCGGGGTTTGGGCTCAGATCCCGGGAGTGAGAGGAAGCGAATGTCAGACTGATATAATGTCTGGGAAGAAGCTCAGCCGAAATGAATGGATGTCCTCATCGTTTTCCCCAACCTACGGTGACCACGCCCCCCAACCACATCCTATCGTACATTATTTATGTTCCACGCAATTACGTCGCTTGTAAACTCGTGAAGAAGATTAATTTATAAACTCCCATAAATCCCCGAATGCCTGGAGTCATTGCCTCGGGCGGCCAGAGGTGGCGTAAGCGATGCATTTCTGAGGTGAATATTTCCCAAGCAAACTGCAAAGTGCATTCTGAGATAGACAGGGAGAAGGTTTTGATGACAACCATCTGCTCAAGTTATAGCAGAAAAAAAAGTGCTGATTGTACCTCTGAGTGAAATACATGCCTGAACCTGCCTTCATGTGTAACTGGCTCTGAAACAGGCCAAAGTGTGATACTGTGTTACTGGGGCCACGTGAGACGCCTTACGGCTTCCAGTTGCTTATTTCTTTGGTCCCACTGGGTTACACCAGGCAGTGATTGGCAGCAGGGGGTAAGAAATGGGAGGTCGCCAGTTCAAATCCCACTGTCAGCTGGGCATTTGAGCAAGACCCCTAACCCCCAATTGCTCGAGGAACTGTCTGACCCTGCAATCAGTTGTACAGTGATTTGGATAAAAGTGTTTGCGAAATAAAATAGCGTAAGAAATGTGAAGAGGCTTCAGTGTTGGCCCGTTCCTAAGAGTGTGGAAGTCGCATGAGGGAAGGTGACACTGTGATGCTGTGTTCTTCTCAAGAGCTTTTGGCTGTCTGACTGTGCTGCAGAAACGTAAACAAGGAGTAGCCATGCATGATGGGATTAGGGAGATGCTGGAGCGAGAGGACAATTGCTGCCGTACAAGGTGTCGCTCATTCTTCAGGGGTGGCGTGACATTTCGATTTTGTTACTTTGCAACATGTTTGTGGTTTGAAATGATCTGGCTGTCATTCAAGGGAGGATTGTTCTGGAGTTCATTTACCACAGATCGCTTAATGTTCGCAAGCTAGTACTACGCTGTGATAAAATTACCATAGGAAATTCAACACGAGTACTCTTCTGCGATAAATTCATCACCGAATGCTCAGACATGCCCAATAACACATTTGCATAATTCAGACAACACTGAAAGTGGAATTCGTGCAATTTCACTCGTAAATAAAACCTGTCGATTGGACAGGAGTGGAATCGAAAGCGAAAGTGCGATGGTCCACCAACGCTGAAGTGTGGATCCCTCGCGGTCCATGACGAGAGCCAGACTGGACTGAGTCACCCAGACTGGACTGAGTCACTCAGACTGAGATAGTGAGCCTTTAATGGTATTGGTGTAGAAAACAGCACAGCCTAACCTGATATGGGTGCAAGGGTTACTGTGTTTAGACTTTTTTCCCTTTTTATGCTTTTTGTTTTACAATTTATTTCAATAATATCTTAATAAAACACAATTGTTCTTAAAATCATAACAATAAAACCCGAAGAATAGATAAAACAAAGAAATGCAGGAAAAATTCAAATAATCATGTCTGTTACTATGATTAAAACCTTAAATGCAAGCAGTTACAAAATTAAAACCTATAAAAGAGCAACGGACCCAGAGAAACTCCTTCCTCTGCACAAGGGTCGGGCTAAAACAGGGACATGCACACGTAAAATCAGCGATTTCAGGAATAATACAAGGTTCACCGTGCACAATGCAAAACACACCAAATACAGAATAATATTGTTAATAAATTAAGGTTAAAGGAATGCTAAACATGAATTTAGACGTAGGGAGAAACGCTACCAGGACGATTTTTAGAATGCGGAACTGAAGCCAGGTGTGGCAGTTTCAGGCGCAGGAGGGGGCCTTGATATTCGGCACCACAGGACCTTGAATGCCTCGTCGTAAGCTGTGTCAGTTGTTTTGGATGAAGTCTAATAAACAAGTAACTTTATTCATCATCACAACTTCAACCCTCGGACGTCCCAGGGGGTCTAAGGTCGGAGTTATATTCCCAGAATGCATTGCGGCAGTGTTACAGAATGCTGCCGGGAGCTTGGTCACACTGAGGGAAGCTGAATGCTGATCTGATGTGCCCCCCCCCGCCCCTAGAGCAAACCCATCCCACGGCTTTGTAAACCTGCTACCGATGCCACTTTCGTCTGAGTTATGTCTGAAGGAGGCGATTTTTCAGCTCTTGAGCCAAAAACGACTCATCAGTCACAGTCTGTCTGCTGACGGTTGGCTGTTTCCTCACAGATGCTCGTCGGGCTTATATTTCCACTGTATCTCTGGCTTGTTATTGTCTGTGTATCTGGCTATTGTAAATCTGTTATGCTCAGTCTGTGCGTGGTCTATTTGGTTACTGGTTTTTTTTTTCCTAATCTGTGCTTTTTTTAATCATTTCCCAGGCAGGACTCCCAGCGAGGGCAGTGGCGGCGACATGCCGTCTCCAGGCCCCCCCTTCAAAGAGGTGTGGCAGGTGAAGGTGTGGCCCAAGGGCCTGGGACAGGCTCGGAACCTAGTGGGCGTCTACCGGCTGTGTCTGACGGACAAGACGGTGAGCTTTGTGAAGCTGAACTCAGACGCCGCCGCCGTGGTGCTGCAGCTGATGAACGTGCGCCGCTGCGGGCATTCCGAGAACTTCTTCTTCGTGGAGGTGGGCCGCTCGGCCGTGACGGGCCCCGGCGAGTTCTGGATGCAGGTGGATGACTCGGTGGTGGCTCAGAACATGCATGAGACACTGCTGGAGGCCATGAAGGCCCTGAGTGAGGAGTTTTGCCAGCGGACTAAGTCCCAGTCAGTGGGGGCTCTTGCCGGTGGCGGAAATGCCTCCAACCCCATCAGCGTCCCCTCCCGACGCCACTACCCCAATCCCCCTCCGAGCCAGGTGGGCTTTACACGGCGGCCTCGCACTGATCCCCCCGGGACTGGAGGGGGCAGCAGCACCAACACTTCCCCCACTTCTCGCCACAGTTTCCCCAGAGCACGCACGGCAAGCATTGGGGCTGGGACGGAGGAGGGCGGGGCATCAGCGGGAGGGTTGGGGTCTGGGTACAGCCTGAGCGGCTCCTGCTCCACCACTCCGAACATGAGGCTAAAGTCTCGTGCCCCTACTCCGGCCAAAATCCCGCTGAGTTTAGCTTGTTACTCCTCAAACCCTGTCACCTCCCCGGCACCAAGCCTGTCCTCCAGCTCAGGCCATGGGTCCGAATGTGGGATAACTGGGGCAGGGTTAGGAGTGGCAGGGATCTATGCCTATAGCCGCTATGTTCCTCAGGGGGTTTCTGGTTCCCCTAGTGACTATGGCTCATCAGATGAGGGTGGCTGCAGCCCTGGCGAGAACTCCTTGCTCACTCCAGACCTCCCGGAGGCTTCAGCTGGAGGTCTGGGCTGCCACTCCCCATTGGAGGAGCCGTCAAACTACATTGCAATGGGCCAGCGGGTCATTGGCCCCTCACGCAGGCTGCTGCGGCGCTCCTCCAGCCGGGAATGTGAAGCGGAGCGCCGGCTACATAGCAAGAGGGCTTCTTTGCCCCCTTCGGCTCTGGAGCGGCCCTTGGCCAGCGAGGCTGGGGGCGAAGATGGCAAGGCCGAGGACTATGCCGTCATGTCCCGTAGTCACAGCAGGGAGTCCTTCACGTCATGTAGAGACTCTGCCACGGGTGCTACCGGTAGTGGAGGGTATCTGGACATAGCAGGGGAGGTTACGGCTAAGGATGAGGGCCAGGGTGGAGTGGGAGGAGGACGGGCAGGAGGAGAACGGATGGTGGATAATGGGTATATGACCATGTTGCCGGGGGTGACTTCTCCTCCTGTTTCCCTGTCACTTTCCCTTTCACCCGCGGTCTCAGCCCCAAAGGCTGCCGGCAGTGAAGAATACATGGCCATGACCCCCAACAACAGCGTGTCCCCTCCTCGTCACATCCGGCCCTCAGGCTCTGAGGGGTACATGGTGATGTCCCCAAATAGCAGCTGCTCCCCAGACCAGCATGGGATGGGTTTGTTAGGCAGCGGCTGGGGAAGCAGGAGATCGATGGACGGTAGAGTGGGAAGCGACTACATGAACATGTCTCCCATCAGCCCTCGCTCTGCCAGCAGCACACCCCCACAATACCATGGGCAGCACCTGCAGCAGCCACCCCCGAAGATGGTCTTTTCCTACTGCTCCCTGCCTCGATCTTACAAACACACACTATCTACCCCTTTCCAGGATGAGCTTGGGCAAGGCACAAGGCCAGGATGTCGTGGAAATGATGACCCGGAGTGCCGGCGCAAGGGGACAGACCACCCGAGCAGACCGGAAGCTTCCACAGGCCCTAAGGAAGGCCACCACCTGTCCCTCTCTTCCTCCTCGTACTCCTCCAGCTCCGCCAGCAGCGAAAGCCTTGAAGAGAGGCATGCTCAACTCGTTGAAGCCATAACGGGAAAAGGAAGACTTGGATCTTTTGGAAACCTTGGCGAGAGCTTTAAGGATGGAGCACTGCAGCAGAGGCGTGTGCCAGTGGGGCAGAAGCAATGCAACTTGCAGCCAATAAGAGGCCGGCCATCCAGCCTCTTTGTCCATGTCTCCAAAGCCAGCACCCTCCCTCGGGTGCGGGAACACCCTCTCCTTCCTGCAAATCAGAGTCCTGGGGAGTATGTCAGCATTGAGTTCAAGGGAAAAATGGCAGGGGCACAGGGGGGACTGGCACATGGACCATTGCACAATGCCCCTGGACACTTCCGGCGACCTGCTGCCTGCCTGGCTGGCTCATTGACACTCCCCCGTAGTGTGTCTGCTCCCCTGGCCCCACTTGCTGCCTCTGAGTATGTCAACATGGAACTGGGTACTTCTCCTGCTTCTTCGCCTCATTCTCTGATGCCCCTTGGCTTTCGTTCTGGCAAGAGCCCTCCCAGCCAACTTGCAGTCGCCCCAAAGGCTCGCCGCGAGCGCCAGTTGGGTCCTCGGGAGGGCGAGTTGCCGGACTCTGGCCAGGGGAAGAATGGCGTACCTGTGGCCATCACACCAGAGATGGCGTCATCTTGTGACTACACTGAGATGGGCTTCACCTTTGGTGCCGCTGTGCCATCTGAGTGTGCCAATCCAGGGCCTCCCAAGGCTCCCGTTGGCCATACATCTTCCATGGAGCTCGGGATAGACTACCTGCCAACGGAGGTCAACACTGGTCCAGAGCAAGGCCACAAAACAGTCCGGGCGAACCCCCAGGCTCGGCGACGCCACTGCTCGGAGACTTTCCTCGCTCTCTCCTCCTCTTCCTCCGCCACGTCTCCTCCTTCGCTGTTTCCCAAGCATGGCCAAACAGTGATTCGGAGGCAAGCGATGGATGGCATACTGTGGGCCAATGCTGCGGCCGCTCCATACGTCAACCCCAGGCCTCCCTCACTGCCTGCCGCCCAGCCTTCTTCCATGGAGCAGGGCCTCAACTACATCGACCTGGACCTTGTCAACAAGGAGAGTCCTCATTCTGCACTTGAAGGTTCATCTCCTAACCAGCCTCTTCCAGGTCGCCTCTTCGCCTCCGTCCTGGGTGGTGGACTCAGTGGGTGCGTAGGAGGGGGAAGCAGCGCCGGAATAAGCCTCAACACTTACGCCAGCATTGACTTCTACAAGTCTGAGGAGCTTCGGACGCACCAGAATGGTAGCAAGGATGGTACAGGTAAGACTTCCTGGAACATCAAGCGGAGAAAGCAATAGACATGTTGGTTTCTAAAGAGCATGAGTTTAGCATCGCTGGGGAATTCTACCTGTTAGGATCAATTCAGGATGTAGAAGTTAGTGCTCAAGATACAATCCGGGTGCTGAAGTGGGAGGCTGGATTGATTTTGTTTTTGTAGCTTCTAGTCGAATTTGTAGTAGTTTTTTCTTATCTGTTTTTTTTTCTGTTATTCTCATTTCCCTCCCCCGGATTTCTGTGTCAAACAGGGAAAAAAGATATTTACACAACACCATTTTGCCTCAGCTCAAGCCAATCTGGCAACAATTTAGTGTCTTTTATAGCTGACTTACTCCAGCACAGATAAAGGAGTCAAAGGTTGATGATGAAGTTATGAGGTGGAGACTCCAGGAGTTGGTGGTGAGTTGTGAGGTAATTGAGGTGTAGACTTCTCTCCAGGGGTTGGTTATACACAGAATCCTGATTTGGTCGCAAAGCCTTTACCGATCACCAGGCTGGCGCCCTAAAATTTTATATCAGTTATATAATTTTTCTGGACCTTAGAATTTGTTGAAAATGCATCAGTGTGCAAATGGATATTTAGATCATAGGATTACAAAACGTAACAAGCTGGTTTATAGTTTCATCTGCAGATTGCCTGTATTCTCCGGAGCCCTGGATACGGAATTCGGCATAAAAGATGTTTCAGGACATAGGGGATGTGCACAAACTTGGAATTTGTGACAGGAAATAACACTTACATGCTAAAGCAGGAATGCATTACACTTAACATACTTAAGTAGCAGGATTTCTTAGCCGGAACAGTTAATGTAAGGCTCAATTTTGAACTTTATCGGTTTGTACGACTGGATATATTTACTGAAGTAGGGCAGCCCTCTTTCTGAATTTGAAATCCAGCACCCAAAGCATTAAGCTACCTGATGGTGTGCAAATCCCTGCAAAGGTGAGTGATGCGTGGGTCTCTCATGTGGCATTTTGGCGCTGTGAGGTATGATACTTTTTTATGTATCTTATTATATACAGCCATGGAAAAATTTTAAGAGACCACTCTATATTTTTAAACAAATCTACGTTTTAAAATCCTGGTTTAATCCTGGTTCTGCAGACAGAAGGTCTGAGGCAGGCTGCTTCCAGGCTGAAAGTTTCTTAGACAGCAGTACATAAGAATAAGTTGAAAGAGGAGACACTGGGAATGATCAGAAAACAGTCAGGTAAAGGGTGGAAGCGACTTTCTAATGATAGAGATGACTGTCAACTCATCTGACAGTTTCTCATGAATCATGACATCATGTGACCTTCAAAAGGAATGGGAAACATTAAGTGCAGGTGTGAAGTGCACTGCTAGGACAGTTTGTGTCAGGCTGCTAGAAGCAGGACTGAAATCACATAAAGCAACGAAGAAGTCCTTCATTAACGAGAAACAGAGAACAACCAAGCTGCATTTTGCAAAAAAAAAATAAATATATTATTCACAGACACACAACCATACATCGAGAAATTAGTGAAACAAAAATTTGTGCTGTGGTCTCTTAATTTTTTAGTTACACTAAGTACACTGGGTCATATCCTGTCCAGGGTGTCCCATGCTTCGTGCCTGGTATTTTCTGGAATAGGCTCCAAGCTCCACAGAAATTTAGCAGTATGGAAAAATGAATGGATGAAAACATGGATGGATGGTTGATTAATGTCACCTTTTGGGCAGTCTCTGCATTTTCAGATTTGCGTTTTATTTCTAGAGAAATACAGGACACAGGTTAAAGAGTCGACAGTAGAAAGTTACAGGTTTGGTGATGGAGCCCTTTCCGGAGAACTCAGACTTCCTCTGTCTCCCTGCACCATCGTAAGGAGAAGCGTGTAACATGCGGCACGGCGTAACCCCTGAGCAGGAGGCGGGGTCTGCGTTCTGTGTGCCAAAGCGCCGGGCAGTGCCCACGTCCGCTCGCGTGACACCAACACCTGCGGCTTATCGCTGCCGGTAGTAAGTTAACACCGAACGCTGCAAAACGGCGCTCTTTCCGATAAGGTTTTTAATCTAGCACAACATGTACAGAAAGAAATTAGATAATGTAATCAGCATAGGGGCGGAAGCAGGACCGGGAGACAGAGAGCCTGAGATTGCCACGGAAACTGGAGTCTGACCCTCAGATCGATCTCGTTTGTTTTAGTTTATTTTGGGCGATAAATCCAATGAAGGCGGTGATGGGGCCTCTGTCGTCGCTCAAGCCTCCCTCCCCCCCCTCTTGTGACAGCCGCAGTTAATTGATTTAGTATCAATGTACCCCGTATGTATTAAATGCGTAAGGAGCGGGACGGCTCCCCCCTGCCTGCGTGGCCGGACTGGGGCCGCAGATGCGGCCGCGCAGCTGGTCGATAGGTATCGGGCGAGAGGGAGCGGTATTTTTCGACTTTGATTTTGCTCCCCGCCGCCGCCTCCGGCTCCCCCGTTTCCCTGGCGATGGTAATGAGGACCCCGTCACTCCCCCGTCAGCGGCGTGGTGCTTCAGCGATGGGGCAGGAACACCGAAGTCCTCAGCCGGCGATGATGATGCTCTTTGAAGGATGCCATCCTGATAATAGTAATTCAATATTATCGACGATCTCCGTCTGCCTTGCCCACCCCCACTCCCACCCCCACTGTCTGCTTTTGTCAGGGCTGCCTGTGCCCCCCCCCCTTGTTAAGCTGAGCTCCTAAGACCTTTAAGGATTTGAAAACGGGGTCATGACGAGAAGGACTCCTTAAAGGTCAGCCGGCCTCTGAACGCAGAGACAGTGGCCGTTGAGATGACAGTGACAATGCGGGGGGGGGGGTTGAGGCCAAAATGGTGCAGTTCGCTTTGATTATTTTTTTCTTTTCATTTTTCCTCTGCAGAGTGCCGCAGGGCCATCCATAAGAAAGGGGAAGACTTTCCAAGGTCCCAGACACTAGGGGGCGCCCATGAGTCTGTGATCAAGTTGGTTTGGGGAGGGGGGGGCACCCCCACTCCTGGCACATTCTAACCACCTGCCTCTCATATTCCCTCAACACCCCCTCAGATATGTCAGCTCAGCTGACAAGCGATGTGTCGAGATGTTGCAAGAGCATTTCAGAGGGGACCCTGTAATGTTTCAATCAGGTGCTTCGGATGGTGTTTCAATGGGCCCTTTTCATGATGTTCTCGCGAGTCACGCTTATTACTTTGCAGGCTGCTTTCTCACTGGGAGCTGGACGTCAACAGGTGGCGTGGAGCGGGAAACTGGCAACTTGCAGGCCCCATGACAGGCCACTAGAGGGTTCTCTTGTAACTTAAAGCCCCGCCCCCCATGTCCCTGGCTGGTACCTTGCCAGTCATTTCCTGTCACCAGGGAACTCCCAGTCACAATTGGCACGATTCAGAGTAGGCCTGTGGTCTTAGCTTCTGGACACCAGACAAGCCTTTTAAGACCGCCGCGCTGACCAAGCATGCTGAGCGCGTACAAGGAAGGGGGTCACTTTTTTTTAAACATTATTTTGCATTTTCACATGGGTTTACGAAAAGAAAAATGAGCGGATGTTTGGAGAGAACTGTGAGCTAGCATAGCGCGCCCAGCGTGCTTCTGGAATTGTGGCCCTCCGTTTTCAGCACTGCTGGCCCCCAGTGCTACTTGTTAGCCGAAAAAAGTACAGCAAGGTATCAGTGTTCATTATGGGTGTGGGTGCATTCCCCTTTTGGGTGGGGTGTCCATACAGTCACTCCCTGTATAGTTAGTATGCCATCTGCTGTCTAAAAGTATGGCTAAAATGTTTTTAGGTCTGGGGTCCTCTTGGTGATTCTTCCTTCCTGGTGATTAGCTTCCATGCCGCATTTCCTCTGATCCCCAAGCTGCGGTCAGACCAGCTACCCGTCTCCCTGGGCACCCTCCCATGCCGCCGTCTCCTGGTCGCCCGGCTTATCGCCATAGCGATTCTGGAGGGGAAAGCAGATTAGCGTCTGCCGCGAATTAGCCGCCGCTTCCTGCGAGCGAGTGAGACTGCGTGTCTCTGGACAGGTGTGTTTATGCAGGATTGAGGGAACGAAACAAGGAGGCGAGATGCTGGGGAGGGATGTGATTTATGGCACCGGTGATTCGGGACGCTATTTGGGTCGTCCTCCCTCCTGATTTCAGGGGCAGGCATCCGGACCTGCTCTCGGCGGCGCATGAATCACGTGGTGCGCATGGTCGACGTGCCTTTGAGCCCTAAAAACACCCCCCCCCCTTCATCACCCCATACCGCCAGGGAGCCCACCGCTGTGCTAGCAGACAGAGCAGAGCCAGGACAGAGGAACAGGGAGGGTTTGAGTGGTGAAGGTGACTGAGATCAGAAGCAGCTGGACCGGGAGAAGATAGCAGTGGGGGGCGGCATCAGGCACAAAAAGAGGCCTGTCTGCAGGCGCGAGGCCTACTGCCCCGTGGCTTGACCTCAGGCCGCCCCTGACAATTTTACCGGCCGCCATTGTTCCCGAAAGGTGCCGTTAAGGCGCGGCTCTTGCGCACGCCACACGTCAAAGCCTCCTCCGCAATCGGAGACAAAAATTGGATTTATTATTCCGCAGCCGGAACACGCCGGAGCGACAGCAGAGCGCCGTGTGAGCGTATAATGCATTTTAAAGCGCCGGCCTGCCTTTCGGTTCACCTTTGCCACACTACTGTTACACGGCTAATGTTAAGAGCCCCTCATGGAAGCGGCCAATCAGAAATGACTGCAGGTTATAAGAGGACAGCGGAAGATCAGAGGAGCTCCAAGGATATATACGGTTACCTGGGAGATGAATGAGACAAAGCAGCAGTCAGCCGATACAGGATAAAATACGCCGTTATTAAAGGAAGGGCTTTTTAGGAAGCTGTAGGCCGCTATGGCAACAGCTGGTTCAGAATGTTCTGCGTAGTATCATAATTTATTCAGAATAAATGTTTTCCATGTCAGAAGAATACTGCCACTCTGGATACATAAAAGAATATTCTTAGGAATTTAAATTCAGCATAAGATTCATAAAAAATACCACAATGAGATAGAATACCATTAAATACATTATTGTTTGAGCCAAAGAAATGCACATAATGCAACAATGTTTTGTAAACTTGCGTTACGGTAGATGGGCTTGGTTATAAATCAGCAGTAGGCTTGTTTTCAGTAGGGTAGGGGGTCGTGACCCAGTCCTTCCTGGTGCAGGCAAAGGTCACAGTGGGAAGGGACCCTGTGTCTGTTTCTCTAGCACTGTGTGAGCAGGGCGGTGGGTTCAGATGTCTCCGACAGCGATGTACGCTACGGGGTGCCTGTCTGGGGGACAGCGCCTCCTGCTGGGGTGACGGGGAAGCGGCATCTTGTGGTATTTATAGCCATGCATTTTCAATGCCTCTTAGCAGCCGTTTTGCAGTTATTGCATTGGAGTGGCTCAGCTGACACCTTTTTCTCAGGTTCTTAGCAGCTCTGCGGTCTCACAGCTGGATGGTGCTACCAGAGCAGCTCGGGGCCACCGGCACCAGCTTCAGCCATCTATTTATGAGCAGTGAAAGTTCACAGACAGACACGAAGGGCAGGAGGAGGGGGTCGGAGGCAGAGCTCGAGCGTGGACATGTGACAGGATGGGTGTTTACCTGGCCAATACCTGGCCACATGAAAAGGGGTGGAGCCTGGAGGCGCATGCATCCATTGGTGTGCTCCTCACATGTAAAGGGGTGGGGAGAGGAGGCGCATGCATCCATTGGTGTGCTCCTCACATGTAAAGGGGCGGGGACAGGAGGCGCATGCGTCCATTGGTGTGCTCCTCACATTTAAAGGGGCGGGGAGAGCAGGCGCATGCACCCATTGGTGTGCTCCTCAGATGTTGAGGGGCGGGGACAGGAGATGCATGCGCCCATTGGTGTGCTCCTCACATGGACAGGAGGCACATGCACCCATTGGTGTGCTCCTCACATGTAAAGGGGCGGGGAGAGGAGGCGCATGCGCCCATTGACTAGCTACTAGCCCTCCTTGTCCTCTTTGACCTGGGCGTGTCACTTGTTCAGCCAGCACTGCTTAGCTCCTGTTTAGCGCCCTGTCAGTTTCTTTTATGTTGAATACCAGCCAGCAGTGAAAATCCTATGCTGCACACTTTGTGTGTGTGTGTTTATTTCCTGGTCAGAAAATAGGCAAAAATACAGACCCGCCCCCATCCTGCACCCGTCGCCAAGGTGATGCTTGTAGTGTAAACACGAGGGAGACGGGGCCCCCACCCTGATGATGAGGACAGTAACAATGGCTGGAGTGAGCAACTTCCTATCATGGAGCGCCTCCTAGCGGCATCGGTCGGCATCTACACCGCGGTCCATTCCTGTGCCTTTCGGCCTCATCATCCTTTAAAAGCAGAACTTGAAATCCACACTAACGCAGGACATGGGCGATGTAGCCAGAGACCTCTAGAGAGCGACAGAGATCACCTCAGCATTGGCAGACCTTTCCGCGATGGGGGATGCTAGGGGCCACCCACGGAGCTGTCCTCACCGGCGCGGCGTTCCTGTCCCATTAACGCCGCCTCCTGTGGTCCCCGCAGGCCGCCTGAGCGATGGCATGTGACACCTGACACTGGGGGGCACTGTGACGAGGTGTTTTTAGTAGATATGTAATGTATGGAGGAGAAAGTGCAGGGAATTCAGAAGCCAGACACTAGCAGCAGAGCGTGACAGCGTGACAAGTGTGAGCAGGACGCCGTTTTCTCCAAGGGCGTTTCCCCGTCATCTGGGACTGCCGTGATTATACTGTATTATTTTTCTGTGTATGATTGGTCATTAAATCTAGTTCAGATGTGGTGGCACTATCATAATGCCTCGAGCTCCTGCAGAGCAGTTACAGCTGCTAGTTTTTCAAATTTGTTTACAGTTTTTTTTTCCCCTCTTTTTGTAGAATGCTAATGGCGCCACCTCCCTGCCCACTCTGCGATTCGCCCGTGACTGGAGCTCCCTGCCAATCAAAGACAGCAACACCCTCGAGGGTCTCCAATCAGGATCATGAAGGCGGTCCTGCATTGCTGGACACGCCCCTGGAGTGCTTTTAAAATGCTGTCTTTTGTTAATTTATTTTTAAGTCGACTGCAACCGACAAAAAAAAGAAATTAAAAAATCATGTGCCAAAAGACTCTGAAAGTGAGGAAAGCCAATTAACTCTATAGATCTCTGATAAACACAGAGGAATCCAAGGAACCGTAAAGAACCCCAAGGATCCCTAATGCTCTCTGCAGAACCCCAGGAATCCCAAGGATCCCTAAGGAACCCTGCACAGCCCTGAGGAATCCCAAGGATCCCTAATGCTCCATGCAGAACCCTGAGGAATCCCAAGGATCCCTAAGGAACCCTGCACAGCCCTGAGGAATCCCAAGGATCCATAATGCTCCCTGCAGAACCCCAGGAATCCCAAGGATCCCTAAGGAACCCTGCACAGCCCTGAGGAATCCCAAGGATCCCTAATGCTCCCTGCAGAACCCTGAGGAATCCCAAGGATCCCTAAGGAGCCCAGCGGAACCCTGAGGAATCCCAAGGATCCCTAAGGAACCCCGAAGAGCCCTGAGGACCCCAACTTGTAGAAGATCATAAAATTATATAGACCCTAAATGCCAAGCAGGAACTAGTAAAATTTATTCTCTGTTCTAAGCATATTATTAATAATAACAATACTAATAATTGTAATTAACATGTTATATAATCCAAAACTTATAATGAAATATAGTGATTATATGATTACTGAACACGTGTATCACTTTTTAAAAGTGCCTTTTAATTTGATTGTAGCCATTTTACTAAGATAATCATGAATAGGTGAAACAGAGTAAAAAGTTCTTCATTTGTCCATTTTTATAGTATCCACTGGAAGGCAGATATAAGTCTCTGTCTGTAGGACTGCAGCGTTTCTCAGTCACGCCGCCAGGCTGGTCGACCAGGCGGCCCCCGCGTGATTCCCCTTGCCCCCCCCCCACAAAATCCACCACAGGAGATCTCTGTCCTACGTAGGAACTCACACGAGTAGCCAGGAATCACACGTGCACGTGCCGCTGGACCTGCGAGCGTATTCGTACACGCACACTCGACCTTGACGTCTGGCTGATCATTGGCTGATGACCGTGAGCGCCCCCTGGAGCCGACGGGGTGCAAGGCGGCCTTCCCGGGGGCAGCAGTGGAATACAGTGGGTGTGTCCAGTGCACAGGGTATTTCCCCGTGTGTCCCGGCATCCTCCATCCGCTGGGCACCTGGGTTACTTACATTTTGCAGCAAACCTGAGATACAACTGTAGTGTCACGTTTTGGCTGTAATTCTTGCACACTCATTCTTCCTTTTTTTCCTCCTCTTCCTCTTCCTCTTCATCATCCTTTCCACCGAATTTTTATGTCCTTCTCTTCCTTTTCTCTAACTTCCCCTCTATCTCTTCTTCCTCTTTCTTTCCCTTTCATGTATCTATTTCTCTTCCTATCCCTCTTCATCTTCCACTCCTCTTCCTTGCACTCTCCCTTTTCTCTCTGTTTCTCTTTCTTCTGCCCTCCCCCTTCCTCTCCTCTCCCTCTAGAGACACACCCACACCTATCTCCAGAAACACTGAAGTGCCTGCAAGTCCTTCACCTGGGTTCAGAGACAATGCCCCGCCCCCTTGACCCCGCCCCCAGATCCTGGCCCCACCCACTCACACACATACAACCAGCCAATACAGATATAATGTCAGTGTTCCAAAGGATCTGCCTCTTATTGCGCAAAAGATAATGTCGCGTGACATCAGACCACAGTCAAACGTTTGAATTGTTCCTTCTTCACCCGACCCCCTCCCCACCCTGCCCCCAGGTTTTCTTTCTGATTCTCTGATTGACGTGTGCGTGCGAGCTTACGCCTGTGACGGACCTTAACGTTAAGCTACCTATCCTCCAGCGGAGTGCACGGCGTCGTGCTTTTGTACCATACTTCTGTTCACTGTAGCTCTAGTGCTCACGCATTCCCGCCTCACTATTCCTGCGCCAGCTGCAAAGCGCTGTGGTTAATCCATCAGAAACTGAACTTTTGCTTTATAACCACGGACCAGGATGCGTCTGCTGTTTTTACCAGACCTCAGTTGCCGGTCGGTGGCAGAGGCCGTACCTAATCCCCCCTGCATGTGGATCGCTGCACACGTAAATGAAAAGCTGATTTCATATTTCCACGCTGTCTGTCCCGTCCTGGGACTCACCACAGTGGACTCATCTGCTTTAACGCTGTAGATTTTTGCCTTGACTTTTTGCAAGTTTTGTTAAAAAACAGACAAACAAAAAAAGATTATCTTAAGCAAGCCTGCATCTGGATTTCAGTCTCTGAAATATGTTGAAGAAGGTTTTTACATTTCTTTATAAAAGGGTAATTCCTGCTTTTTCATTCAAGTTTACAGGTTTATGATTTTTACATGATAGATATTTTATATCATTGTTTCCCTTTTATTTAAGACTGATTTATACTGAAAACATTGAGGAAACTGCGGAAGTAAAGATTTCAGGAATGTTTGCATGTATGTCTGGCTGTAGTCTGTCTGTGTGTTAATTTCCCCATGAACTCTACTGCCTTAAGAGCTGCTGATAACTAATTCTTTATATGACAAGAGCATTTTGAGAACAAGGCAGTTTGGCAGGAGTTTAACTTCGAAAACACTAAACATTTCTGAAGGTTTAGACCAGTGTCTGCCAATCCGGTCCTCAGGTACCGGGAGCTGGGAGGGAGCAAAAATGTGGGCTGTCTGGCAGGGAGCTGAGAGGGAGCAAAAATGTGGATTGTCTGTGGGTCCCCAAGGACCGGGTTGGGAAACACTGCTTTACACCAAGTTAAACCCAAGAAGCCAAGCTTCAGCTTTTTTAAAAAAATATTGAAATACCTTTAACGGGGAAAGACCCTTGGAGGAGAGTTACTGCAGAGCTCAGTATAATTGAAATTACACTGGTGATGAAGGCTGTATTATGTTAATAAGATAATGATGCTTTGTGGAACGGAATGAGCAGCACATGTCTTTTACTGTAGGATTTACGCATTTTTTTCTGTATATTGAGGAGTAGAATTTGAGGGATGCGGGGATACAGGGTTAATTAAATGACTGTGCTTTTTTTCTCTCCTCTTAATGGCAAACTTGCAAAATGGCAGACCATAGCGATTCTTGCCTGTGATGTAGCCAATGTCATTTTGTTGCTTGAACAACAAAAAAAAGCAAAAGAAAAACAAGTGTCTGTCATTATTTTGGAATCACGATCAAACGTGCATGTGCCGCGCTGGCACGATTCCTTCAGACAGGGCGCCCGCACAGACGCGCGTGTGTGTTTGCGTGTGTCACGTATGTATAACATTGTGGGGACCAAATATCCCCACAATGCGATTGAAACCTGGTATTTTCACATTGTGGGGACATTTTTTTTTTTATAAAAATCTATGAATGCAATCAAAAAACTAAACATGCCAAAAGTCTTGTATTCTGTTTGGTTACTTAAGGTTAAGATTGTTATAGGTGGGATAAAGGGTTATGCTCATTGAAAAGAATGGACAGTCCCCACAATGATAAGTGTACAAATGTGTGTGTATGAACAAATTACATTATTAATGTGCATGTCATTTCAGATTTTCTCAGTATATGTGACATGTTGACATTCTCTTCACGTCTTCATCATTCCCTCCTCGAATGCGAGGCTTCTATCACAATAATCGGCCTCTGCAGCCAGGAAAGTTGGTGAAGTTTTATTTGCTTTTCCTGTCCGTTTCATGCACACGTGTGACGCGTTCATTCTCTGTGGAAACATTGCTTTACGCAACACAAGCAGCAGGGCCGGTTAAAGCCAGTGTGGCACCCATGACCTCTGAATCAAAGTGGCTAAATCAGCGTCCCATCAGAAGATGGAGCCAGGGCAGCTACCTTTGTTACCTAATGGGTCGACCTTCCCTGACAAACACAAAGGAAGTTACAGGTTTTTTTGTTGTGGTGACATCATCAGAGACACAAACATGCACCCCAGGTTTGTTTTTCTTCCGGGAACGCCGTCCATACCTGCTTCTGGAGTTAAAGAGAAAGATGCTGAGACCTCGGGGCGTGACGCTCGCATGAAGCCAGCAGTGTGACAGGAGGCTTCGAGTGACATGAGGACTGTGTGAGGGACTGATTTCACAGCTGCGAAATTCAGATAAGAGCCCTGAAGCCTTTAAACTTCCCGTTTTAACATACAGACTCTAACAAACAAACACGCTGGCATTTTGTTGTTTGATGAGGATACACTGGCAACCCCAAAGGGAAATAGAGTTCTTAAGGCTTGACAGTATTGCTTTATGTGTCCATAAGATTCGATCTTTTGAATACGTGTATATTTGGAAAAGCTGAAGGGTATGTTACATTGTTGCTGTAAATGCTTTTACTTATTACTAAAATGTCTCACATAGTAACTTCATTTTTCTTACAGAGCCTTGATTACTGATATTTAAAAATGTATTTTAATGTGTCTCTTCGGGGAATCCTTGGGTACCGCTGGCTTGACTTTGTGTCGAACGCGCGGTTGCTAGAGGAATCCCGAATGAGGCGCATTACCTGCATTGTGAGGGAGCGTCAGTTACGGCACTGCGGCCAGGCGGCGCATTTCCATGAGGGTGTGTCTGCCTGGGGGGGGGGGGTCGCCAGCTGGGATCCCGAGGCATTTCGCCATGTGGTGGGTGCGGCAACGCGCTGCATCAGCGCATGCTCCCCAACCTGACCTGACCTACAAAAAATGCGACGGCTAATGGGAACAGTTAAAAACACACTTTTTAGTCCAAGAGAAATTCAGTTAATCTGAAAATAATCTGAAATATAATGCCCTCCCCCATACAAGTTAACCCTAAACCTAATATCTCTGTAAGGCAGGGTCATCACTTCCGGCTCTTTCCGCCGCTCGCCTCCCGTCGAGGGCGACAGCTTGCATTTGTGACCGTTACTCTTCCTGCGACACCGTTTCTGAAAATCGGCTCTGTTAACAGCTGGTACCACGGTATTCCTGCCATTAAAGACGAAGGCTGATTGTTACAGGATTATGTCTTATTAAAGTGACGTCCTACTGGGGTGTCAGTAGTGTCTGAGCATCATCTGTTGCCTTTTTTGCTGACCGCGGAGCTTCTGGGAAGCGGCAAAGCGTTCATTAAGCAGATGCGTGGATCCAAAGTGATGCACGGTTGAGAAGGCATTGTTAGACGCTCCCTAAATGGACTGGAGGCTAAGGGCCCAATGGTGACATCGCTCTACCAATTCTGGTGTGATTTTTATGGTGACAGGCAAAGTGTACTAACCCACAGAGCCACACGCCTTCCCCCACAAAGCATGTCATTCATAATGCCCCAAACATTTAGGAACCTTAGAAATGTAATTTAACCAGGGAACCATCAGTAATTGTGACAATCATTTTCATGGCTTCCTTGTAAGTTGGGGTTTTGTGTTTTTTCCCTCTATTTTCCCCTAAATTATCGTGCTAATTTTATGTTTCGCGTTTTGCCCAAAATATACTCCCCTCCCCCTCCCCCCACACTAACCTCAGTACAGTACTCACTATCTCCTCTGTGGAAAGAATGCAAACATCCCCCTGTTTTACAGAACATTCCGGTATGCAAAGATTTGCATTAAACACAGAGAATTATTGCATTAGCGTAAATCTGAATAATTATGAAAATTATTTGCGGCTGTATTTAGGTGCCATTGCCATGGACAAAATCATTAATGCACTGAAAACAGCCAGTCCGTCCATTCTCTAGCCATATTATGCGGTTATTTAGAAAGGGTTTGAAGTCTTTTAATAACGAGAACCACCTTTCCTTTGAAAAATGGAGGTGGTTGTTTTGAAGCGCATCCACATGCTTCCTGTTTACAGTTTCAGATACGCGGAGGAGCCGGCTGTGACTAACTGCATGATGCGCTCGTTACTCCCCCAGCGGCCTCTGGCTCCGCCCCCGCAGGCTCGAGGCGGACCAGGGCTGGTACTACCAGGGGCCAATCATCCCTGAAGCCGATTAATACCATGTTTGTGTTCACAGAAGCCCACGGACACGCCCCCTGATAACAAACACTGACAAAGAGTTGGTGATGACAGGTTGATTATTGTTCTCTACCCCCATTGGCTGCTCTCAGACTTTCAGTGCCAAGTAGGGGCCCCCTTCTGAGATGCCCTCTGACACACCCAGTTGGCAGGGCAGTGACATCCAGAGGCGGTCGTGCAGCTGGGGAAGACGTCACACTGTAGACCTTCACACTCCAGCAGATGGAACCCATGTATAATCCAGTCTATGGGGTCTGACGTGGGGTGGAACGTTTCCGGAAACTCCTGTAGGGGGAGTGAGGTGAGATAAGGCAACC